AATGTTTCGAGAGTCTGTTATGCATTGAAAAGGCACTATTCAATGTTACATGATTGGCTGTTGATATATATATATATATATATATATATATATATATATATATATTACAATGAATCATTGATACAAAAAGTAGATTAGTTAAGTTTATGATATAAAATGGCGAAATCTCTTCGCAAACCAAACGTTAACCTACGAACCACTCGATGAATATTATGATCCTTGTTTTTAATAACTACAAGCTGTGTAAGGTCTTTTTTAATCTGCAAGTACTTTCAACTGTACAAACAGCCATCCTCAGGTATAGAAATTATTTTGTTTTTAGTAAAATCCAGGTAGCATCAGAGACGAAAAATTAAATGCGAATCGAAATATGTTTTTTTAGAAATGTGTTATTGTTAACGGATACAAAATTTTGGAGCGTGCAGTCGCAACGTTAAGGTTGATATATTTTGAAAATTTAAGAGCGTTCGTTTTTTACTAATATGGTAATTTGAGAATTTTTTTGTTGTATGTGTTTATCAGTCAATGTGGCATGAACTAAATTGTTCAATAAATGGAGTAATGTCTCAGTTGTTATCCCGAAAATTTGCACGTCGGATCAGTTCTTTTAAATCAAAATTTGATGCAGTTCAATTTATATTACAATGAATCATTCATACAATAAGTAGATTAGTAAAGCTGAGACATGACTCTATTTATTGAACAATTTAGTTCATGCCACATGAATGTAATTTCACCACTAAATGGACTGATAAAACATTTGACACAAAACAAATGACCGCATAAGAGACGTTTAATTCTTTGAAAATATAGACCCCTCCCTTTAGATAGAAACAATCGCAGTTCGTTTTCAAACATGTCTTATCCGTGGAGAGTCGTCTTCCTGACATTAACTACCCACTGCATTTACAGAATTGGGGTCAAGCGTACAACCTGAGGCTTTGCACCACATCTGGTTAAAAACTGCCCAACGTCTTTTTCTGGGCTTGACAGAGTTTAAAAAAAAAGTTTATATGGTCGTCTGGGCAACTAATTATTTTTCACTCTAAAACACATTTTTCTACAGATGAGAGTCACAAGTTTATCGCTGCTGAATCGCTATTGTCAGATAAAAGGTCCAGAGGAGCTACATTCTATAGATCCACCAGTTCAGACTTTTACAGCTAAGACCCATCATGTCGCATATATGGTCGAAGCAGCCCAATTCTCTTCATTTTTTATTAGTAAATTCTACTCAAAGAGCTTTTTCTAAAGAAGCGTTACTTTGTGGGCAAAACTCCCGAAATGATGTTTCCCCAATCACGACAATCTTAACCTCTTCAAGTCTAGGGTCAAATGTTATCTATCCTACATATCCTCATAATCTGAACTTAATTCTTCTTCTTACATCCATACAACAATCTCATTCAGTAAGCCTATACCTTGTTTTCAATTCTTGAGACAAATAGGTAACATCAGAAAGAGACAGTTGAAAGGACGCTTCCCCCATCACGACAATCTTAACCTCTTCCAACCTAGGGTCAAATGTTATCTATCCTACATATCCTCATAATCTGCACTTAATTCCTCTTCTTACATCCATACAACAACCTCATTCAGTAAGCCTATACCTTGTTGTCAATTCTTGAGACAAATAGGTAACATCAGAAAGAGACAGTTGAAAGGACGCTTCCCCCATCACGACAATCTTAACCTCTTCCAACCTAGGGTCAAATATTATCTATCCTACATATCCTCATAATCTGCACTTAATTCCTCTTCTTACATCCATACAACAACCTCATTTCATAAGCCCATACCTTGTTGTCAATTCTTGAGACAAATAGGTAACATCAGAAAGAGACAGTTGAAAGGACGCTTCCCCGATCACTACAATCTTAACCTCTTACAACCTAGGGTCAGATGTTATCTATCCTACATATCCTCATAATCTTGCGGTATCTCAAGCCAC